ACATCGATGAGAGAGAAACATTGATCAGCTGCCTCCTGCACACTCCCTACTGGGGACGTGCCCGCAACCAAGGTACATGCCCTTGATTGGAATAGAACCCGGGACCCTTGAGTCTGAAGGCCGACGCTCTATCCACTGAGCCAAACCAGTTTCGGCAGGAGAGGCAGTTCTTGCTGAGGACAAGGGGAGAGTGGCACAGATGAGGCAGAGGCAAGAAGGTCAGAGACAGAGAGTCAAGGTTGTCCCCCAGGCTCATCGAAGGGGTGTTTGAGTCCACAAGGAGGTGACTGATCAGAACCGAGAGGCATGGAAGGAGGACACAGGGACAGCAACGGGGAGGGGGGTCGTTTGATGGCGTGGTCTTCAAAGAAGCAGGGGTCTTGCAGGGAGGAGTGGGACTGTCTGGGAGCGTTAAGGTGTCTGGGCCAGGCCCTGAGGTGCCTGGGTGTGTGAGGAAGAACAGCCTCCTTGGTCAGGTTTCTGTCGGACAAAAGGGAAAGACCCTCTGAGAAGACCGACCGTGTTCTGGAGGCAGGTAAAGGGTTGGGAAGTCTGAAGGAGATAAAGGTGGACAAGTATTTATTGTCTCCTCAGTGCCAGGCAGTGCACTGGGCACGGAGGATGCCCCTGGGAGAGAGCAGACAGGTCTCTGCAGGTGCCCTGTGCCCTCCTTTGGCTCTGGGCGTCTCCCAAGGGCAGGAACTGTGAGCTGCCTCCCCACTGCCCCAGGGCTAGGGGCACACAAGGGGTGCTCGGAAAACACCTGCTGCGTTGACATGATACCCCTCCCCCACTTACTGTGACCCAGCACCATGGCAGCCGCATCACGCCTAACGTCAGCGCAGCCCTCAGTGCCTCAGCGCGGTAGTGGGCTCAGGGCCTTTGGGAAGAGGGCGTGTGAGAGAGCACCTGTGCTGTGTCCTCAGGCTGAGTGCTGCGCCTGTCACTGCGCCCCCCCATCTCCTTTTCCCTCTCCTGCGCCTTTGCCCTGGCAGACACCATTCGCAAGATGAAGAATGATTTCCGGAAGATGGAGGATGAGATGGACCGGCTGGCCACCAACATGGCTGTGATCACAGACTTCAGCGCGCGCATCAGTGCCACACTGCAGGACCGCCACGAGCGCATCACCAAGCTGGCAGGTGGGCGCTGCCCCAGAGAAGGTGCTAAAGTGGGCCGACCTCGGGGCTCTGAGGCTGACACCACCTGCCCTCGCCCCCCAGGGGTCCACGCTCTGCTGCGGAAGCTGCAGTTCCTCTTCGAGCTGCCCTCGCGCCTCACCAAGTGCGTGGAGCTGGGCGCCTATGGGCAGGCGGTGCGCTACCAGGGCCGTGCGCGAGCCGTGCTGCAGCAGTACCAGCACCTGCCCTCGTTCCGTGCCATCCAGGACGACTGCCAGGTCATCACAGCTCGCCTGGCCCAGCAGCTACGGCAGCGCTTCAGGTGTGGCCTCTGGGCCCCCATCTTACCCCTGCCCTGCACTTGCCCTTCTCCCCCAGCCCCACCCCAAATTCTGTCTTCTTGCTCTACCCTGCCATCTTCCTCCCGGTAGGGAGGGCGGCTCCGGTGCCCCTGAGCAGGCAGAATGCGTGGAGCTGCTGCTGGCCCTGGGCGAGCCCGCAGAGGAGCTGTGTGAGGAGTTCCTGGCACATGCCCGAGGGCGGCTGGAGGAAGAGCTGAGAAGCCTGGAGGCAGAGCTGGGGCCCTCCCCTCCTGCCCCTGATGTGTTAGAATTTACCGACCACGGAGGCAGCGGCTTTGTGGGTGGCCTCTGCCAGGTGGCCACAGCCTACCAGGAGCTGTTTGCGGCCCAGGGCCCAGCAGGTGCGGAGAAGCTGGCAGCCTTTGCCCAGGAGCTGGGCGGCTGCTACTTTGCGCTGGTGGAGAGGCGGCTGGCGCAGGAGCAAGGTGGCAGTGACAACTCGCTGCTGGTGCGGGCACTAGACCGCTTCCACCGGCGCCTGCGAGCACCTGGCGCTCTGCTTGCTGCTGCTGGGCTGGCCGACGCTGCCACGGAGATCGTGGAGCGAGTAGCCCGGGAGCGCCTGGGCCACCACTTGCAGGGCCTGCGGGCGGCCTTCCTGGGCTGCCTAACCGATGTGCGGCAGGCGCTGGCTGCACCTCGCTTGGCTGGGAAGGAAGGTCCCGGCCTGGCCGAGTTGCTGGCCAATGTGGCCAGCTCCATCCTGAGCCACATCAAGGCCTCGCTGGCTGCTGTACACCTCTTCACCGCCAAGGAGGTGTCTTTCTCCAACAAGCCCTACTTCCGGGTATGGCCTGCCCCTGGGCACTTTCTTTTTCTGGGCATTCTTTTATTCATTCTGCAGATGGGAGCCACCAGGGCACACAGTGCTTGCCCCCAGGCACTCTAGATGTGGTTTCAGGCTGTCATGAGGAATACTGGCAGAGCCTGGAGGGATGGGGAAGGGCCAGGGCGTTTAGATTTAGGGTTCCAGCAGAGGGTCACTAGCAGCCCCTGCCTGGAAGAGGGGACCTGCTGTATACCCGGCCCTTCCTCCTCACAGGGCGAGTTCTGCAGCCAGGGCGTCCGTGAGGGCCTCATCGTGGGTTTCATCCGGTCCATGTGCCAGACGGCTCAGAGCTTCTGTGACAGCCCTGGGGAGAAAGGGGGTGCCACGCCACCCGCCCTGCTCCTGCTCCTCTCCCGCCTCTGCCTGGACTATGAGACGGCCACCATCTCCTACATTCTCACCCTCACTGATGAACAGTTTCTGGTGCAGGTGAACTGCCAGCTCATAGCAGGGTAGGGGGTGGTGGTGCTGGGAAAGCAGGAGACTAGGCAGTGCCCTCATGGTCAGGCCAGCTGCCTGTGCGCAACCCAACCTCCCCATGCCCAGCCTGTGCCCAGCTCCTGGTTGGCAGTGGCCCCTGAGCTTCCCCCAGCACCCACTACCTTTTTGTCCTCTGCATCCCTGGCTCAGGACCAGTCTCCAGTGACACCTGTGAGCACACTGTGTGCAGAGGCCAGGGAGACGGCACGGCGGCTGCTGACCCACTATGTGAAGGTGCAGGGCCTGGTCATATCGCAGATGTTGCGCAAGAGTGTGGAGACGCGGGACTGGCTCAGTACCCTGGAGCCCCGGAACGTGCGCGCTGTCATGAAGCGGGTGGTGGAGGACACGACGGCTATTGATGTGCAGGTGCTGGTCAGGGGAGCCTGAAGGTGCAGGGCGAGGGGGTGTTGGGAAATACCTTCTGAGGGTCAAGACTTCAGGGGCCAGGCAGTGCCTGCATCCGTGGCCTCATTCCTCCTCAGCCCCAGATTGTGGCATCATCACCCCCATTCCTTCTATGAGGAAGCTGAGGCCGAGTCACCCAGAAAATAAGGGCCTCAGTGTCTTTATGTCTCACCTTTACCCCACTCCACTTCTTCTGTAAATAGAGACTGGGTAACAGTGAGGTACCAAGCCTGGACTACCTGTGACTCTGGTAACAAGTGTGACTTGTAGTAAATGAGTGTAGCTTAGGGCATCCTTAGCCCTTGCCCAGGGCACCTGGTGAGCTGGAGGTCCCCTGTACTCTGGCCTCTTTGCAGTGTCTCCTTCCACCACCAGGTGGGGCTCCTGTACGAAGAAGGTGTTCGCAAGGCCCAGAGCAGTGACTCCAGCAAGAGGACCTTCTCCGTGTACAGCAGCTCCCGGCAGCAGGGCCGCTATGCACCCAGCTATACACCCAGGTCTGCTGGTCAGACTAGCCCCTGGGGGAATGGACAAAGGTTAACGGGTGCAGGGTGGGCTCTGAATGCTTGTCTCCCCTCCCCCCCATCCAGTGCCCCAATGGACACCAACCTCTTGAGCAACATCCAGAAGCTGTTCTCTGAGCGTATTGATGTGTTCAGCCCTGTTGAGTTCAACAAGGTTTGAAGTCACCAGTGAACCCCCCTTCCAGGGTCCCCACACTGGCCAGGGAGCCCTAGCATTCTGTCCCCCCAGTCTTTGTCCGAGGGGTGTTTCCGGGAGTGAGTATCCAGAGCCCCACCATCACCATCCCATGGCCCTTTGCCCCGACCTTGGTGTGCTCCCAGCCTGGGTGTGGGTGCTGCTCAGTATGTCTCTTTGGCTCTTGTGCTATTTCCCACAGCAGTCCTGGGTCCTCCCCAGGGTTCCTGTTCACACCATGGTCTCAGTCCCGCCCAGCCCACACTCAGGGACCCCGTGTTCTTCTGACTCAGTAAACCCCCGGTCCCCCCGTCATTGCTGACCCCCATCTCTGCCTGTGGTTGCTGGGCAGTCCCTGTCGGTTTCCCTCCAGATGATGAGGCTAATCTTGTATCCCTCCCTCCCTCCCTGGGCTTTCCATGCCATCGAAGCTACTGGCATCTTATTGTGTCCCTGGCCCTAACGTGGGTGCCCTTCCCCAACACCTGCTGTGTGAGCTTCATCCCCGTGTCCCTTCCTGCAGGTGTCAGTGCTGACCGGCATCATCAAGATCAGCCTGAAGACGCTGCTGGAGTGTGTGCGGCTGCGCACCTTTGGGCGCTTCGGGCTGCAGCAGGTGCAGGTGGACTGCCACTTTCTGCAGCTCTACCTGTGGCGCTTCGTGGCCGACGAGGAGCTTGTGCACCTGCTGCTGGACGAGGTGGTGGCCTCAGCTGCCCTGCGATGCCCGGACCCAGTGCCCATGGAACCCAGTGTGGTAGAGGTCATCTGCGAGCGCGGCTAGGCCAGGCCATTGTCATGCACAGGCTGGCCAGCTGCCCCAACCCGCGCATCCCTGGACCTCCAGTCCCCGCGGCCCTTCCCCTCTCACCGCAAGACCCGAAAAATAAAGATGTGCCGTCTCCTCCCTCTCGCTTGCAGGGGCGGGACTTGAGGGGGTGGAGTTGTGAGGCTGAGACTCTGCCTCCGAGATGCTTGCGTCGGACTCGCCCCCAAGAGCCGATTGGCTGATCTGCTGGGCTCAGGATGGGCCGGGGGCGGGCCCGTTTAAAGACCTCAGGATGGACATGCGCTGTGTCCGAGCGCCGCCCGGGACAGGTGCTGGCCACAGGGGACGGATTCCTCACGTCACCGAGCCCATCTGAGGGTTGGGGTGGAGGGTGTTTGCTTGACGGATTTTTGTAAACCCCCACCTCCCGGCGGAGCGGAGACCATGGCCCCTCAGGGCTCCCGGGCCCCGCTGGAATTCGGGGGACCCTTGGGTAATGGGGCAAAGAAGGGGGGATCTGGGGCCAGAGGCTCCTCAAAGGGAAACTGGAGGGGTGAGCTGCGAGCGGGGATGGGGCAGAATCCGGGGGCTTTGAGGGGTGTCCGGGGGCAGGGGGTTGTGAGGGAGTGTCTGGAGGGGGCGGGGTCTGTGGAGTGGACAGAGTCCGGGGAGTCCGGAGGCGGGACCAGGAGGAAGTTAGGGAAGGGTGCTGAGGCTGGGAACGGGGTGGGGAGAGTTGGGGAGCGGGCCCCTGACGCGATCGGCCCCTTCCCCAGGCGCTGCGGCGCTGATGCTGCTGCTCCCCGCCACCATGTTCCATCTGCTCCTGGTGGCGCGCTCCGGGCCGGCGCGCCTCCTGGGCCTGCCCCCCCACCTGCCGGCGCCCGCGGCGCTGTGGAGCCCGGGGGCGCTGCTGCTGTGGCTCACCTGGCTGGGCCTGCAGGCGGCCTTCTACCTGCTGCCGGCGCGCAAGGTGCGGACCTGCCTCGCGGACGCGCGTGGGAGGAGGGCGGAGGGTGGGGCTCAGCGAGAAGAAAGGCACCCTCAGCCCTCATCGGAGCCCCTTTGTGCCTGCAGATGGCCGAGGGCCAGGAACTGAAGGACCAGAGTCGCCTGCGCTACCCCATTAACGGTGCCTGGGGCGGGGCCCTTCGCTGGAGCTGCGCGGGGGGCGGGGGGGGGCGGGGCGGCCTGCAGGTCTCGGGGGATTAACCCGACCCGGGCTCTGGTGCCTGCGCCGCCAGGACAGACCTGGGGTCTCGCTCTCCTGCCCACCCCGCCCCTCCACCCTTTCCTGCCGCATTTGCTGCTGCTCTCGCCACAGCAGCCGCTGACGTGACCTAAAAGCCAAGGTGTCAGCCAAATGGCTTGGGTCGAGGTCTGTGACCTCTTGGCTTAGAGCAGTGTTGGGGGGGGCGATGGGGGGCTAGTCCCCAGGACTCACCCTGTGCTGGGGTTCAGGCTTCCAGGCCCTGGTGCTGACAGCCCTGCTGGTGGGCCTGGGGGTGTGGGCCGGGCTGCCCCTGGGAATGCTCACGGAAATGCTCCTGCCCTTGGCGTGGGTGGCCACCCTCACGGCCTTCATCTTCAGCCTCCTCCTCTATCTGAAGGCGCTAATGGCCCCTGCCTCCGCCCTGGCACCCGGAGGGAACTCAGGTGAGAGGGGCTCCAGTGGGGACAGATGGAGGCAGACAGGGGTGCTAGCTTGCAGCCTCACTCTCCATTGTTCTCCAGGCAATCCCGTTTACGACTTTTTCTTGGGACGGGAGCTCAACCCGCGCTTCGGTTCCTTTGACTGCAAATACTTCTGCGAACTGCGGCCTGGCCTCATCGGCTGGGTATGCTGGGCATGGCTCAGTGGGACTTGCGCCAGCAGGAGGGGTGGGGCGGGTGAGCAGTTCCTGGGCAGGACAGGTGCAGTATTGCCCAGACATCATTCATTCATTCCACAAATATTTGTTGAATCTAATATGTGTCCTAGGAAATACTGTAGGTGCTGAGATATAAGAAAAAATTACAGAAAAAAAAACCTGTCCTCGTGGAACCTACATTCTAATGGGAAAGACAGACAAAAAAAAAAAAGTATATATAGCATGTCAAGGGATGCTGCATACCATGGAGAAAAGCAAGTCAGGAAAGAAGAGGTGCAATTTTTTTGTAATCCTCACCAAGGCTATGTTTCTATTGTTTTTTAGAGAGAAATACTGATGTGAGAAACATTGATCCGTTGCCTCCCACATGCGCCCCGACCAGGCATGGAAACTGCACTGACTGGGAATCAAAATCCAAACTTTTTGGATGATGCTTCAACCACCTGAGCCACCCAGCCAGGGCGTGGTGCAATTTTAAATGAAGTGTCAAGTGCACAAATCTATTTCAAGAAGGGAGAGTGGTCCTATGCTGCTTGCTAGTCAAAGTAGTGCAGAACTTAGATCTGAGCAGAGTTTAGCAACCTGTCCATCACTGGTGTCTTTGACTGACATACCAACTGTGTTTCTTGGTTATAGTCAGTGCTGGACTGTGGTCAGGGTTTCCCAAAGGTTCCTCATGTCACCCTGGAACCCTCACCCAGAGGCAGGAGGAATGCCAGGCGCCAGGCTGTGTCCTGATGTATGAAACGGGATAAAGAGCTCCTTCCTAAGATTATTATGAGGATTAGAAGGGGTAACAGCACCTAGCCCACTGCTGCCAGATGGGGGTGCTCACTACAGGCTGACTGCTAGCCACCATCGTTGAGCACTTACTGTGTGTCACTCCCATGAGTCCTCAGGCAATTCTAAGGGCTGGACCGTAATTATCTCCATTGCCACCATGAGGGTGGGGAAGGCGGGCTTTAGAGAGGGTAAGCAACTTGCCCAAGTGGGGAAGCTAATTCAAAACCAGGTCTGTTTTAACTCTCAAGCCTGCAGCACCCGCCTACGCCCCATGCTGCTCTCCCCAAGGGAACAGCACTACAGGATAAGGCGAGAGAAAACAGCTGGAAACGCCTCCATTGCAGGCTCTCTGGGAACGGGCTGGGTTCATTTGACAAAGCTGGAGAGTTAGTGGCTGACACTTAGATGGGGAGAAGCTGGCCACTGCCCTACCCGGGTGCTGCCCACTCAGTGGAGATGGGCTGGGGACAGACTGTGCCATCTCCTCCCAACCCCCAGGTCCTCATCAACCTGGCTCTGCTGGCACAGGAGGCAGAACTTCGGGGGCGTCCCTCCCTGGCCATGTGGCTGGTCAACGGCTTCCAGCTGCTCTATGTGGGTGATGCCCTCTGGCACGAGGTGAGCTGGACTGCTCAGGGGGAGCAGGGGGAGCTGCCTGAGGACCTTGTCGGGACTAAAGTGCGTCTGGGTCCTGTCCCTGCAGGAAGCTGTACTCACCACCATGGACATCACACACGACGGGTTTGGCTTCATGCTGGCCTTTGGGGACCTAGCCTGGGTACCCTTCACCTACAGCCTGCAGGCCCAGTTCCTGCTGTACCACCCACAGCCCCTGGAGTTGCCCACGGCCTCAGTCATCTGCCTCGTCAATGGTCAGTCAGGAACGGGCAGCAGCCTGGGTGCATGCATCATTCTCCCTCCCCTTTCTTATGCTTTATATATTTTTATTGATTTCAGAGAGGCAAGGAGAGGGAGAGATAGATAGAAACATCAATGATGAGAGAGAATCATTGATTGGCTGCCTCCTCACACCCACACTGGGGATAGAGTCCACAACCTGGGCATGTGCCCTGACCAGGAATGGAACTGTGACCTCCTGGTTCATAGGTTGACACTCAACCACTGAACCACGCCAGCTGGTCTCATTCATTGTTTATTCAGCACCCACTAGGTAGGTGCTAAGCATCATGCTCTTCTCTAAAGCTGGGGGCTGGGTCCTGGGGTCCAGGCAGACTGGGTTTAGGCTGTGTGGGGATGATCAGGGTCAGGCAGAAGCCTGTGGCCCTCAACCCTGACTGCCTGCTCATGCTTTCCCTCAGCTGTTGGTTACTACATCTTCCGTGGAGCCAATTCCCAGAAAAACACCTTCCGAAAGAACCCTTCTGACCCCAGAGTGGCCGGTGAGCTGTGTTTCTAGGTTGCCATGAGTGAGGTGGGGCAGCTGGGCTTCCTGGGGGTCACTCATCCCACTACCTGTCTTCCCCCAGGCCTTGAGACCATCTCTACAGCCACGGGGAGGCAGCTGCTAGTGTCTGGGTGGTGGGGTATGGTCCGCCATCCCAACTATCTGGGAGACCTCATTATGGCTCTGGCCTGGTCCTTGCCCTGTGGTGAGTAGCTTGGGTAGGTACTGCATGTGTGTGGGGGCAGATGGATTAGAAACCACAGGATACCCAGTCTGGGTGTAGAATGAATAGGGGTGCGCCTTAGTGGAGGGAGTAGTCAGGGGGCTGGAGATGGATTCAGGATGTGACTGGGACAGACAGCACTGTTGGCACCTTGCTGCAGACCCGGGACCTTTCACTGTTGAGCCCTGATGCCCATGAGCTATTAGGTATGGAAACCTTTGTGAACTGGGGGTCTGGCTGAGTGGTCACAGAGCCCCCTTCCCCACAGGGGTGTCCCACCTGCTGCCTTACTTCTACCTCCTCTACTTCACTGCGCTGCTGGTGCACCGTGAGGCCCGGGACGAGCAGCAGTGCCTGCAAAAGTACGGCCTGGCCTGGCGTGAATATTGCCGGCGTGTGCCCTACCGAATTGTGCCTTACATCTACTGAAGTGGCTCCACCCACCCAAGGTCGAAGCCCGTACCCACCCATCTGCCAGCACTCCCTGCAGCAGGAGCCTGGACGTCTAGGACTCAAAAGCCTGCGCTCAGTCCTGCCGAGCTCCAACAGGCAGGGCTGACAGCCTCAGAGCAGGGAGAAAATGAAGGCAGTACCCAAAATCGGAGTGGACGTTGCTCTTCCTTCTTGGATAAACATCTGGAACCCTTGGTACCACTTCTCTCCCTTTCTGGGACAGGGGTGTTTAAATCTTGGCTGGGTCAGCCCTGATTAGGGAGAGGCGGAGAGGTTTGCGGGCCCAAGAACCTGCGGGTGGGTGGGCACAACAGCCGTCTCTCAGAAATGGGCACTCCCAACAGGTCAGACCATTCACAGGTTTATTGATGACAAGGAGCCCACAGTTCAGCCGGGGAGTTCCTCAATGAGTGTCCTCGGGGCAGGTGGTAGGGGACCTCCCCAAAGCCGCTCCAGCTCCCCAGTGAGGGCTGCCACCTCTTCGGCGGCTACAGCGTGAGCTCGGTGGGCCCTGGCACAGTCCAGAGCCAGGGCCGGGAGGGCCACCTCATTCTCGTTGGTCCAAGCCATCAGGAACTGGCACTTCTTTCGGGCCCGGTAGAGGCGATCTCGCACCTCAGTAGCCTCGGCCCGTTTCCGGGCCCGGCCCAGAGTCTGCGCCAAGTGCCCCAGGGCTGCCAGCGTGTAGCCCTTCTGGTTGGCAGGGCCCTCGCCCAGCAGGATGCGGGCGGCCTCGCGCATGGCACCCCGTGTGCCCAGGGGCCCCGGGGGATGCTCGCCCGCTTCAAGCACGTGAGCTGCGGCCTGTAGGGCTTCTTCGGCAGAGGCAAAGGCCTGCTGGGCACCCAGGGCTCCCGAAACGCCGAGCAGCGTGGCACAGAAGTCGGTGAGCAGCGCATCGTCGCCGCCATGATACAGGACAAGGGTGTGCGCATAGGCGAACAGCACGTTGGGCAGCTGGAAGCGTACGAGCGGCGAGACCCTGCCGCGGCTCAGGCTGGCCAGCGTGGGGATCCGGGCGGGCACAGCGGGCGTGCAGGCCCCCGGGGCGTCTCCGAGAACCGTCTCCGCGGCGGCCGGGGACTCCGCGGCAGCGGCATCCCTCGCGGGTTCTGGCGGCGCCTTCGCAGGGTCGGGCTCCAGCTCCGCGGCCTCCCCGCCCGGGGTATCATCCAGCTCCTCCAGAAGTCGTGGCCCGGCCCCGCTCCCCCACCACCACGGCCGCCACGGGGGCAGCAGCCGCCCGGCCTCGCCACGGTTCAGCAGCTGCTCGAAGGCCGCCTTCTCGGCCGGGGATAGCCGCTCCCAGAGTCCCAAGAGGCCGCCGGGCGCCGGGCCCGGGCTGAGGCCTGCGTCCTGCGGCTCGTCCTCGGTCTCGCGTTGCTGACGCAGCCGGCGGAGGGCGCTGGCTAGGCGGCTGGGAGAGGCGCTGCGGCCGCGGAGCTCTCCCAGCACCTGGTCCCGGTAGAAGTCTTCGGCGCAGGTGCCATGCGCCCGGTAGCAGCGCAGCGAGCAGTAGGGCACGTTACAGCGGGGGCAGACGTAGCGCGCCGGCTGGGCCTCGGCGGCCGGGCAGAAACCGCAGGGCCCGGCCGGCTCCATGGCAACTGGCGCCGCCGGCCACCCGCGAACGCAGAGGCCGCAGCTCGGCAACTTCCGGCGCTTCTCGGTGACTTCCGCCTCTCGGTGGGGCCCACCAAGCGCCTACTGAAAGCTCCCCGAAGACTCTCGGCAACTTCCGCCCACACCCCGAAGACTCTCGGCAACTTCCGCCCACACTCGGAATCCAAGCCCCGCCCTCACGTCGCGGCTGGGCCGGCGCAGGAGGCGGCGGTGAGGTGGGAGCGCGGTACCAGCCCCAGCGCGGCTGCTTGGCGCTGCAAAGCGCAGAGGCAGAAGTAGGTCTTTGCCACGCACCTCCTCTGGGCCGTTAATTGTGCCGGGTCCCTGCGCTGTAGGGACAGCCATTATACTATACAGCCATATAGAGGACAAAGGGGAGAGAGTGGAAAGGCCAAGGTGGGGTACCTCGCCTAGACTGGGTGTGTGTTGGCGGCATTTTCCCTCTTCAAAACAAAGCAATATTTAACAAACATCTGAGCTCCTGTTTGATTTCCTCCTCCAAACCTATCGTTCATCCACCGTTAAAGTGGACCACGTTGAGCAGAGATGCGGCCCTATCATAATGGAGCTTACAGTTTGTGGTAGAGTGGGGAGTTGGTCCAGGGCACCCCTGATAGTAAGCTCTGGTTCTTTATTCCCTCATCTTGCACATCCAATCCCAGCTACAGTCAGTTCTGCCTTCAAAATATCTTGTACTTATTTCAATATCGATCATGTTTCTTTTTTTTTTAAAATATATTTTATTGATTTTTTACAGAGAGAAAGGGAGAGAGATAGAGAGTTAGAAACATCGATCAGCTGCCTCTTGCACATCTCCTACTGGGGATGTGCCCGCAACCCAGGTACATGCCCTTGACCGGAATCGAACCTGGGACCTTTCAGTCCGCAGGCCGACGCTCTATCCACTGAGCCAAACCGGTTTCGGCCGATCATGTTTCTCTACCAAGATCGAGATGGGTTTGATGACCTTCAAGTCTGTTTAAAGTGAGTTGATGAGTGAAGCAGTGAGACAATCAAGCCTGTTCATTTTTTTACATCTCCTCCACCACCACTGGTGCTCTAAGTTCCTTGCCAATCAAGTGGATGATACCACCTTAACTTTCTTGCCGGCCCTCCAGAAAAATCAGCCAGTTGAAATGTTAGGTCACAAGTCAGATCACATCAGGCCCTTGCTGAAAACCCAGCCCTGCCCTTGATGACTCTCCACTGTACCTGGACCTAAACTCCACTCCATGTCTGACTGCGGTTCTGTCCGCTAGAACTTTCACCATCTTACCATCTGATTAACTAGGATAGTATGTGTTTACCCAAACCCCTTCATTACACTTACTTTAAGTTTATTAACACTTTAGTTTCCTCACTTTCTTCTATGTGTCCTGACCAGGGATCAAACCTGCAACCTTGGCATATTGGGACAATGCTTAGCTACCTGGCCAGAGATATTAAATAACTAGAGGCCACGTGCTCGAAATTCATGCACAGGTAGGGTCCCTAGGTTCCCTGCCTCCCCATTCTCTTGCCACCCACCCCAGGTTCCCCATTCCAGCCCAGGGCCCAGCCACAATCAGGTGATCGGGACCTGCCGGCCAGGGGGAGGGACCCAGGAGGTTGGCCCCTGGCTCTGAGGAGGGAGCTGGCCCTTGGCCCCCATGGGAAAGGGGCCCTGTCTGCCGCCACCCACCCTCAGTTCAGCCCAGGGGCCCAGCCACGATCTGGTGATGGGGGCCTGCCAGCCAGGGGGAGGGACTGGGGGTTTGGCCAGCAGGCCCCATTGCCAGTGGGGGCCTGTGGGCTGGGGGAAGCTTCTTCATTGAGCGTCTGCCCCTGGTGGTCAGTGCACATCATAGCAACCAGTTGTTCCAGTCATTCCATCATAAAGGTCACTTAGGCTTTTATATGTATAGATTATAAATGGAGCAAGGATCGAAACTCAAGGCAGTCTAAGTCTAGAGCCCAAGGTCTCTCTTTATCCTATGGGCTTTATTCTAAGAAGCAGCAGGTTAAAAAACCTTAGAATAAATGTGTGGGTATGCACGTGTTGCTAGCAGGGAATCCTGAATCAGTTCCAGAGAACTCAACTTTTGGGAACAGTGAAACAATCAACTGACCAGCCTGAGTTCTGATTAGGTTAGCAAGAGCAGTCATGCAATCAGAAGTACAAACAAGGTCACCACAGTGCCAATATAATCAGGATACTTTCCAAAGCTGGGCAAACCAAACTTCTGCACTGAGCCCCACTAAGGCCACAGCTGGTCCAAGTTCAGGAAAAGGCCGGATTGGCATTCCCTGACATTTTTTTCTCCTAGAACTCCTCCCCTTCCATTGCTGCCGCTATAAAACACCCACAACGATTCCTATCTTCTGTTTAAAAGAATAAGAACAAAACAAAAACCAAAAAAAAAAAAAAAAAAGAGAGAGAAGGATTTGGGGGAATTATCAAGTTATTTGGGATCAGAAATTTCCCCAACTCTCCATTTAAAGGAAGGACTGGCACGTTTTCATGGGAAGCCTTTTCTTGTAGTTTACCACCTCCCTCTCACCCCCTCTACCCATCAAGGGCCTCTGCCTCACTTGACAATATCAAGAAACCAAAATGAGACCCTGCTGTTCCAGTGGACATACCACCAGCCCTAGAAGCCTCCTCTCACCCTGAGGCCCTGCAAATTAAGATGAAACGAGATGACTGGGCTAAGTGGCTTTATTAGAGAAAACCAGATGACAAAGGACTTTAAGAGTTGGCATTGGGGCCCTTCTTCTTGCCAAAGGTGGGCACAACATTGACAAAACGCCGGTTGTACTGCATCCGTCGCTTGGCCCGACCAGTCTTCTTCTTCTTTTTCTCCTGTTTGGCCACCTGGGAAAGGGAAGGCTCATCAGACCCTGGTTGACATCTTCCATCTCTTCCCTCAGGTTCATTTCCAGGGAGGGAGAAGACTGGTCAAAAGCCAAGGGTCTTAGCTTATCTGTGATAGTAAAAAACTTAAGTCCAAAGGACACCACTAATACTGCACTTACCTTGGGGGTCTGACCTCTGACTTTCCCAGCACGGGCCAGAGAACCATGGACTTTACCTGTGGTGGAAAAGGACAGCAAGCGGTTAGGAGCAAGAAGGCCCCACCCAGCAGAATTCTTTCTCCCTCAACTCAAGCCTTTAAAGGTGAGCTGGGCTCAACAGGAAATGAGAACAAAATTGCAGAGATTTGACATCTGACCAGGAATTAGTCTGGCATGTTCTAGGTTTCACTTCAGGATTTTCTAGCCCCTTGGGGATCTGGTCTAACCTAATTTTAATGAGGAAACTGGGAAATAGGCAAAGATCTAGTAAGTGACTGAAATAGAACTACACTCTAGTTCAGTCTTCCAGGGACCTCTCAAGAGTTTATTCTGCCAAAGGACACAGACAGTAGGGGGGCGGGGATATGTGTTGGGGAGAAAGAGGGAGCAGTCAATGGGGGAAGGGCAGGAGACATATGTAATACTTTCAACAATAATGAATTTTTAAAAAGGAGTTAATTCTGGCCCTGACCGGTTTGGCTCAGTGGATAGAGATCAGCCTGGGGACTCAAGGGTCCCAGGTTCGATTCCCGTCAAGGGCATGTACCTTGGTTGGGGGCACATCCCCAGTGGGGGTTGTGCAGGAGGCAGCTGATTGATGTTTCTCTCTCATCGATGTTTCTAACTCTCTATCCCTCTCCCTTCCTCTCTGTAAAAAATCAATAAAATATATTTAAAAAAAAATAAAAAGGAGTTAATTCTGCCCTGGCTGGCATTCTCAGTGGTTAGAGTGCCAAGCCTGCACACAGAAGGGTCACTGGTTCAATTCCTGGTCAAGAGCATGTACGTGGGTTGCAGGTTCCATCCCTGGCACAGTGGGGCGGATGTGGGAGGCAACCAATCAATGTGACTTTCTCACATCAATGTTTCTTTCTCCCCCTCCCACTCTCCTGAAAACCAATGGAAAAAATATCCTGGGGTGAGGATACCAAAACAAACAAAGAGTTAATCCTGAGGTAAACAGGAAGAACCACCCTGGATTTAGGACACTGATCTCATTATGTGCTTACAAGCAGTTCAAAGGAGTCCTCCCCAACTCACCTCCAAGCATGCGGGCGGCTACTTCCAGAGTGGACAGCGCCTCCACCCCACACTGGCCCAGGGTAGCCTCATCCTCCAGGGGTGTGCCTGCCAGGAGCACGACTTGATCTTCTGGAGCGATGCCCTCCAGCGAGGCTACATGAGCCTACAAGCAAAAATGAGGCTCATGAGCGTTCCCGCAGGGAGCGAGGTTAAAGAGCACACGAATACGGCGCCCGAGGCGCACCCCGCAGCCTTACCTTGATCTGGGAGACAGTCTCCCGGCCGGTCACCTCGAGGGTGTGGAGCTCCTGGGCGCGGACAAACAGCTGCATGTCGGCGACTGAGGAAAAGGAACGCTTGTGAGAGAAGGAATATTCTGGGAGAGCGGGCGTCGGGGAATCGGTGGCGGGCCGGGGCGATCGCAGGTCTCACGTGGGTAAGACAGGGCCGGCCGGCCTGCCCGCCTGCCAGGGAGGTCGGGTGGGGACAAGAACCCGGCCCACACAGCAGCCTCTCCTCCTCTGTTCTTCCCGCGCCCTCTGACCTCGCAGCCAACCTGCTAGGAAGCCCTCGGGACTCAGCCGTGCCCCCAACTCTACCTGAACTGCGGCCTGTGCCGCTCCCGCGAAGATGGAGTCGAGAAAGAGGAAGGAAGAGGAGCGTACGCGTCCTAAGCGCTTGCTGCGTCTAACGTCACTGCTGCGCGCCGACGAGAACCTCGGCTATTTGTGCCGCCCACGGCGTCGTAACCCCGCCCCTTGACGCTCGCGTAGGCCTTCTTCCGGTCTCGCGGGGCGTGCGCAGGAAGCGTGGGACTAGGCGGGTTGCGCGCGCAGGAAGCTAAAGCTGGGGGAGTTCAAGATGGCCGCGGCCGTGTTCCCGGCTTTGCTGCGGCGCTGGAGGGTCGGCGTGCAGCCGGGCGGCGCGCTGCGGCGGCTGGTGAGAGTACTGAGCGTGGAGCGGGGGGCAGAGGGCTGAGTGTGAGGCTCGCTGTTCTTCCTTTTAACCCTGAAAATCGCATTCCCGTTGGGGCCTTAGTTTTCCCATCTGATGTGGGAGACCTTTTCTGTAGCTGAGATGCAAGACTGAGAAGGAAGGTGACAGGACCTGGTGCGCGCTTCCGGGGGTGGGGGTTAGAACCTGATTGGAGGACAACCTCGGTGAGTCGGCTCTGGGCGGGGCTGCGCACCGACTCTCGCTGCCTAACTCTTTCAAGGGGAAACCAACGGGTTCACAGAGCAACTCCATCGTTGGCGACACTACTGGGAACCTAGAGCTCATGACATACAGGCCACTGCACCCTGCTTGCCTGTTCTCATTGTCACCCCGGCGCCTGTCAGGACTCCGGGGTATCTGTCGGGATGTGTCCAAAAAGGATCTTAAAGCTGCAGGATGGGAGGACAGAATTTGGAGTGTGACCTTAGGGTAGATTGCTGAATGTCTTGATCTTCCTTGGATTAAAAATGGGTGTGATAGCTCTAACCTGTTTGGCTCAGTGGATAGAGCGTCGGCCTGCGGACTGAAGGGTCCCGGGTTCGATTCCGGTCAAGGGCATGTGCCTTGGTTGGGGGCACATCCCCAGTAGGGGGTGTGCAGGAGGCAGCTGATCAACGTTTCTCTCTCAAAGATGTTTCTGGCTCTCTATCCCTCTCCCTTCCTCTCTGTAAAAAAACAATAAAAGATATATTTTTTAAAAATTAGATTTTAAAAAAAGTGTGTGATAAAATACGCCGAGTTATAAGAATTAAATGAAAACAATACCTGTAGAGCACTTAGTATGATGCCTGGCCGTGTGTGTATGAGGTTGAAACCTTCCAGGTAAAGGAGGATCACGTGGGGTGAGTGTGAGTGCAAAACTATCAGGGTTGTTGAAAGTGCCTAACCCAGAACTAGAATATTTCGGTAGAATATTTAAAAGAAACTTTCGATACCGAATTATGCTACATTGCTCAGCTTTCCAGTTAATTGTCTTATTATTTGAGTCCCAGGAGGGACTGAGGCAGGAGAGGCAGGCCTTCAGAATACTTGAAGGTCTTTTCCAGGCCCAGTGCACCCCGACAGACTGAAGTCTGGTGCTTTCCTCTCTCCAGCCATTCATTTATACCGTTCTCTCTACCTGTAATGTTTCCTTTCACTACTTACTGAAGTTCTGTTGTGGTGGGTGGGTGGTGAGTACGCTGATGGTTGCTTTTTGTCTTTGCCTCAGAGCCAGACCCAGGGGCCTCCCAGTTACCCCCGCTTTGTGGAGTCTGTGGATGAATACCAGTTTGTGGAACGCCTGATACCCCCCACCAGCGTTCCGGAGCCCCCGAAGCATGAACATTATCCTACTCCTAGTGGCTGGCAGCCCCCCAGAGGTGAGCTAGATCATGGGGATGGCTTGAAGGCGACAGGGAAGTTCCCCTCCTTGGTGGTTGGCCTGCCCCAGCTGCCACTGAACTCAGTGGTTTCAGGACTTGTTTTGAGGACTAGTACCTGTTTCATGTTCAAGGAAGGGCCCAGGAATGGAGCCCTGTTTCACAAGTAACCATCCATCCACACTACTGGGATAAGTCTTCCCATGCAGGAAAAGAAGCATAGAGAGAAGACCCAAGAGCTTGGACTCCTTCTCCCCCCACCCTACCCCCACCCCCAGTAGTCCATGTACCATAATTGAGAACTCAGCTGGGCAGTTCTGGGTCAGCTTCTCCCAACCTCAGTCTCAGTAAAATGGAGATAATCTGCCCGGCACCATAACGCACTTAGTGCAGAGCCCAGCATGTGGTGGTGTTCAGTACTTGTAAATCTCCATGCCTTTGTGCCAGAGTCATATTAGTCTCCCTGACCCCGAGGAGAAGGGCAAGGATTGGTCCCACAGGGGGACCTGAATATCCAGGGAGGCATGGCCCTCACTTAATTTCTTCTTGAGCACCTTCCGGTGCCAGGCCCTGTCTGGGCCTTGGGCTACTAGAGTCCTCGCTCTAAACTTAGGGAAAGAGCAGGTCTCCTGACCTGAAGTCTGGAGGTGGCTTTGCCGTAGACTTCTGCAGACTCTGAGGAGAAAGGCCTTGACTGAGGTGGGATGAAGCCTGGGAAGACTTGGCTTATCACCATCCCTCCCTGTCCCAGACCCTCCACCCAACCTGCCTTACTTTGTGCGGCGCTCTCGGATGCACAACATCCCTGTCTATAAAGACATCACACATGGCAACCGTCAGATGACTGTGATCCGGAAGGTGGAGGGAGACATTTGGGTAAGTGTGTGGGTGGGTCAGGGTCTGAGTGTGGCCTTTTCAGGGCTGAAGGGATGGGAGTCCTCTAGAGGTGACGGGTCTCCTGACCAGGCCTGATTTGTCATCTTCCCCCAGGCCCTGCAGAAGGATGTGGAAGACTTTCTGAGCCCACTGCTGGGGAAGACACCTATCACCCAGGTCAATGAGGTGACAGGTACCCTGCGGATCAAGGGCTACTTTGACCAGCAGCTAAAAACCTGGCTCTTAGAGAAGGGCTTCTGAGGCCTAGCTGAGCAGCCTGCATGACAGCATCCCCCACAGACTGGAGTCCAGGGGACCTCAGGAGGGAGGCGGGTGTTGAAGCAACTAGGATTGGGGTACAGGCTAGGGCTGAGGGCTTGGGCAAGGTAGAGTGAGGGCTTTGGAGCAGACCTTGCTTGCATAAAGGGGGAAACAGGACCATCTGCACAGATGCCAGCACTGAGGGGGGGGCTGTCTTACATTGGAGACCCACTAGAAACAGCTGAGCTAGTGGGGGGCATTAGTTGCTGTCCCCCCTGCCCCTGATTTTGGTCTATTCCTGCTTTTTCTTCATTGGAGCTACTGGAGTCAGTTATTCAAATTCTGGAGGTTGTTGACTGCCCCTCTGGTGTTTCGGGGAGGATAGCACAGGACAGAACCTTCCTTGGTCCTTAGACTTCCTGCTGCAAACATTCCCAAGCTCTTCCTCTAGCCCAGTGGTTCTCAACCTTCTGGCCCTTTAAATACAGTTCCTCATGTTGTGACCCAAACATAAAATTATTTTTGTTGCTACTTCATAACTGTAATGTTGCTACTGTTATGAATCGTAATGTAAATATCTGATATGCAGGATGGTCTTAAGGGACCCCTGTGAAAGGGTCGTTCGACAGCCAAAGGGGTCTCGACCCACAGGTTGAGAACCGCTGCTCTAGCCAGACCTGGCTTATGGAGGCTACGGAGAACACAGATGACTGACATGGGTCCTGGCAGCCTTCAATCACATGTGCAGGGCTGGGCATGGGGCACAGCGTGCCCTTGTCAGCCCCTGAGCTCATCGTTTCTACCCATGGTGAGGCAGAAGGCTCACTCACCTCTGCTCTATTCCAGAGTTAGGCCTGATTGGGTTTCCAGCTCCAATAATTAGTGATTCTCTGTAGCTGATCTGCCCACAAGGGGGTGCTTGGGAGCTCTTAGCCCAGCACATGGCATGTTTCCCAGCTTGATGACCTGGTATCAAGGCTGGACGGGGTTTGCAGGCACGAAGATGCTGGCCTTTTGCCCCTGCCATCCCCATCCAATGAACCTTCACACTTGTCCTGTCATGAGGGCCAAAAGCCCATCCCCACCCCAGTGTCAGACTGGCTAGGTCAGGGTTCAGAGCCTAGCTCCCTCTGGGCTAAAGCAGGGTAATCTTTTTAGAGCTCAGTTTTTTCTCATGTAATATGGGTATATCTTCCTAATAGTTCAATAACAATGCGCCCAAGGACAGTGCTAGGTTGTATAAATAAACCCTCATCCCAGAAGATTCCAGGCCACTCTCAAGTCTACAGCCTGAGCAAGAAAATGGAGCCCAGCTCACTGATGCTGACACCAGCTCTACCAATTGTTAATGCAAGCTTTTATTTGGCTGTATATACAATTCAAGCTATTAAAATTTGTACAATATTTACAAATTAAATAATCATCTGAAACTCTCCAGCAACTCACTTAACACAAAACCAAGGGGGAAAAGACAGGGACAGGCAGGCCTTGGCTCCTGTGTTCCCTACCTGCCCAGAGCCTTTTCTAAATTGGAGAGACCAGGAGTCTGGCACTCCTGCTCCTCTTCCCTGGGGTCAAGCATTCAAATCCAAAGACAGATTTTTAAGCCAAAGAAAATACAAGGAAGTTACTCCAATTCTTTAAACTTAAGACAAGTTCTGTAAGTTGAGAAGTGGCCTTCCGTAGATTCTGGGGCTTGCAGTGGTTCCGGAGCAGACGCACAAGCCCTCAGCCTGGAGTGAGGCTGGGCAGTGGCTGCTGGTTGAGCAGGGACAGTCTCACTTTAGACAAGCTACAGGGAGAGGGGCCTTGTAGGCAGTGTCCCTCGGTGCTGCCCTCCTGCTGCTCTGCCCCCAGGCACTCCTTTCCCTGAGTTGTGTGGTTGCCAGTAAGACATGGAAATGTCACAGGGCGTAAGGGACACAGCCACCACCACAAAGGGCTTCCAGGGAGTTTAGGGTAAAAAATGGACACCGGTACCAGTCTTGGTGGGCCAGGGAGCAAGTTCCTGGCCTGCCCCCAGACCCTTGAGTCCGCACTTAGGAATGGGAGCTAATACTGTTCGGTACTGCAGTGTGACTCCACACACGCCAAGTGGGCTCAGAGGGCTGCCCCTTCTCCCAGAAAGGGGGAGGGGTCAGAGGGCTTCTTAGAGGCTGTGCTGTTCTGCCTTCATGGTCCCAACAGAACACAGGGCTGAAGGGTTGGAGAAGGCTGGAACTGACTCAAGATCCCCTTGGCTGCCCAAGGACTGTAAGGGCTGGAGTCAACTGGGGCCTTAGGCCTCTTTCCACTTGGCCTAGGGGATGCCACCTCCTTTGTCTCAGATGTGGGGGTTACTACTCCCTGGTACAGAGAGGGAGCTGGCACTTGGTGGCAGGACATGTTCCAGCAAGGGCTGCTCAAGAGAGGGAGCAGGGGCCAGGACTGGAGCAGTGTCAGTGGGCAACGGGGGACTCCAACTTCTGCAGGCGGCGGCGGCGGAGCTCTGCTGCATCAGGCTCCCCATCCTCAGGCAGCTCCTCGGTGCCCACTGACTCAGGACCTGAGGACAGAGAGGCGAGAAGTGGAACACAGAGAAATCCCTTGCCCTACCCCCCTGTAGGCTGACCACAATTACCTGAAGGCTTTTCAGATTCTGGGGTTGGTGGGGAAGCTCCTGTGGATGGGGTGGTGGTCTCAGAGCTGGGGGTGCTGGTGGAGGAGGCAGCAGCAACTGTAGGGGCAGTCTCCTCAGTGGAGTTGACTGAGGTGGCCGGCCGGGGGGGCCTAGGAAGAGAAGGGACAGAGGTAAGCCCAGCTCTGGCATCCTGGTATGACTGGGCAGATTATCCTGTCCTTGGCAAGCCTTGCAAAATAAGAGTCCAGCACTGCCCTGGCTGGTTTGGCTCAGCGGATAGAGGGTCGGCCTGCAGACTGAAGGGTCCTGGGTTCAATTCTGGTCAAGGGCACATGCCTGGGTTGTTGGCTCGGGGGGGGTGGGGGGGCATGCAAGAGGCAGCCAATCAATGGTTCTCTCTCATCATTGCTGTTTCTATCTCTCCCTCTTCCTTCCTCTCTGAAATCAATAAAAATACATAAAATAGAGTCCTGCCTGACGTGCCTCTGCAGCTCAGTGACCACAAGACATGAGTGACCGCATGCAGAATTCTTGTGACTACATCAGAGTAATTAGAAACCACTTGCAGGCAGGACTGAAGGCCTGTTCACTTACACTGCAGTCTCCACCCTGGGTACCTTAAAGGTACCAACTAAGACCTCCCACTGAATACAACAGAGCACTCGGTCTCAGCGCCCCTCCACACCTGTGCTGTCATTGTTGGGTGCCAGGCACTTTGTACATGTGACCTGTGAACAGGAATGAGATCCTCTTCCATTCAAATAAGGTAATGGTGGCCACAAAGCACCGAAGTGTTGGCACCAGGACTTGACCGCGAGCCAGGCTGCCTCCAAGTGACTAACTTTATTTGCTATCTCAGATCAGGGACACTGATTCCCAGTCAGTGTCACCATATATCAGGAGGGTACAGGTAATGAACTAAAACACTGAGAATTGTGAGAAATTTGACTTGAGGAAAAGATAAAGTAAGAAGATTCAAAGTCAGCTCTCTAATAATCCACACTTGTGCTGTACTGAGATTCAGACAGGCCTGCAGTGGAGGATAAAAAGGCACCAAGAGTGCCTACAGATAGGCGGCCTGGATCAACAGGCGTCTCAGGATGGCACGAGAAAAAGGGCAAAAACCATCCTGGGAGCCTTCTGGCAGCTCCATGCCTCTGCTGCCCACCCTGGCTCCCTGAGCAGACATACCCCAAGGAGGCGAGCACAGTGAGGTACTGGTTGATCTGCAGCATGGCAGCATCTAGCAGCGTGTGGATGTTGCGCAGGCTCTGCAGCCGAGCCTCCAGGTGCTGCCGCTCGTGGCCTTCCAGAGCCCGCAGCTCCTCTGGGGTCAGCCCAGCAAAGCCGGCAGGGGGCACAGGCATTGGGGGGAAGGCTGGAGAGAGAGAGAGGCTCAGCCTGGGTTGCCTGAGCCTGACACCCCCCACCCACCAGAACAACCCCGAGAGTCCCTGTTTACCAAAGGGTGGCGGCAGCGGCATACCCATCCAGGGAGGGGGGAAGGGGAAGCCTGGGGTGGGAGCGGCCTCGGAGGTGGGGGCAGAGCCAGGTGCCGGGGCAGAGGCAGCAGAAGCAGCTGTGGTTGTGGCTGCTCCACTGGGCCGAGAAAGGGCTGCTAAAGAGCAAGAACAGGAAGTCGGTGAGTGTTGAGGGGCCTCTGCTTCCACTACTCCCACCCCCCTGGTTGTTGCAGTACCCAAAGGGCTCACCTGCGCTGGTGGATGGAGGGGCCGCAGCCTCTCCTGAGCTGGGAGGAGGTGGAACGGGTGGAAAGGGGCCCATGGGGGGCCACAGAGGGAACATGCCTGGTGGAAAGGGAGGTAGGAGGCCCTGGGGGACTGCAGAGAGAGGACAGGAGGTAATGAGAAAAAGTCCAAATCACAGGCAAGGCGCTGCTTGTTGGGAGCTATGTCCTCTGCTCCCACAGGTCCTCTCTGAGCTCGGCACTGACTACACATGACTGCAACCATCTATGTCTCCTCCCATGACCTCCCCATCACCACACCCAGACTGAGCTTCTAGTGGGCAGGGATTCTGATTTCCCATACCCAGCCCAAGGCAAGTACTAGACAGTGTCAAATGGCCAAATGAGGGGTCACTCACAGTTGGGGGGCTGGGGCAGGAGTGGTGGGGGATGGGGGGCAGGTGGTGGTCCCTGATCCGCAGGTTCAGGGGGTGGTGGTGATTGGGTTGGCAGCGATGCACGAAGGACATCCATACGGCAAGTGGGGCAGGTCTGCTGCCGCTGGAACCAGGAGCGCAGGCAGCTGGGGGTTAAGACCAGGCAATGATTAGCAGGTCCCTAGGGACCTGCCCCCCAGAGCCTGTCCCCTGATGCGCAGACTCCCCAGGGCTCCTCCCACCTGGTATGGAAAATGTGGTTGCAGAGCAGTTTCTTGGCACCAGTCACCATCTCTTCTCGACAGATGATGCATACATTGTCCATTGCCTGCAGTTCCTCTGGGGTGGCATCTGGGTACCTGGTTAGAACAGGCCAAGGACGTGTCAGGACCAGAGCTGGAGGCTGGAGGCCCAGAGCTGGGGTAGAGCTTAGGAGAAATTTGACTTGAGGAAAAGATAAAGATAAAGTAAGAAGATTCACTTACAGTGTGTTCATGTTGCGGATAGCTCGGCGAGACATGATGGCGTCTGTCACAGCTTTCTTGAACTGCCTGAAAGGACAGTTTCAGTGAAAGTTGGGAGAGGAAGGGGAGGGATCAAATAGGGGTTAGGGGTGTGGCAGGGCCCGGCTCAGCTGGGCTCACCTCATGGCCAGGTACATAGGCCGGATGGCAAACAGAGGGAAGGTGTGCACCTTGATCATGATGGTCATGAAAGCCAGATAGAGCAGAACCTTGATGAAGCCTGCGGGGAAAGGTGTGCAGAGAGCAGGTCACAGGGCTTGGGAGGCAGAGCTGGGGATACGAGTCCAGGTCAGGGGAGGCCCAGGCTCCTCTCACCTGTAAACAGCTCTGTGTAGAGCATGTACACGGCCTTATTGTCCCAGGGGTTTTCGCTCTGAAGGTCCACGGAGTGCAGCACGTATTTGATGAAGATGGTGAGCACCATAGTCATCAGGATGGCGTACTGGAGGGAGGGGAGAGGGGGAGGCATAAGCAGGCAGCCTCTGCGTGCTCCAGCCACACTGCTACCCCAGGCCTCTGCACAGCAGGTCCAATAGCACAAGCACAGACTTGGACACAGCCGGGGTCTTCCGAGCCCCTCCACTCACTAGCTGGTCTGACTTCTGGCAATCCATAGACCTCTCTGAACTAGCCTGCTTGTCTGTAAATGCCAGAGTTAACTGCTCCTTTATAACGATGCTACTTTGCTAATTAAAAGAGATGCAGGTCAAGTGCTCAGCACAGGCCTGGCATACAGTCAGCATTCAGCAAAGTGAGCTGTTGTCAATGGACACATTCTTCCTCTGCCAGGGACACACTTCCCCAGCTGTCCATCAAGCTAACTCCTTTTGTCCATCAACAGCCAGCTCTTCTGGCATCACCTTCCAGGAAGCCTTCCCTGAGCACCAGGTCAGGACCCTCTTTCTGTGCCTTCCCCTCTCCTAGGAGGGGGTGCAGAGAGCTAGGACTGGCGCAGGCTGCTCCTGGTGGCCCGCATGGGGCTGGCCGCAGAGCAGGTGCTCATGAAGTTTGTTGGGCTATCAAGGCACATGCAGTGCCACCTCAGGCTTGTCCTCCCAACTTCCCGAGCCAGTTTACCTCAAAGCCAAACACCAGCTGCACAGAGGCCCCACGGGTCAGGATGCTGTGATAGGCATGGCTGACGAAGAGGAAGTC